GGCTGTCACTCGCCCAGCTCCGGCCGTCCAGCTGCGCTTGGCACCGCTGGCCCCAGCTGCGGAGGAGGGAGGCGGAGCCCCGGACTGGCCCCGCCTCTCTCATTTGCATCGGGCCCAGGCCCCGCCCCTCGCCGCCAGCTGCTTTACATATTGGCACCCCGCGGCGGCCGACCTCCCAGCGAAGTGTTCTCAGCCGCAGCGCTGCGGCGCGGTTACCGCAGCCCGCCCTCGTCAGCCTTGAGCCTCGACCCCCAACCCCGGGCTCGGGCAGCGGCTTCGTTGAGGAGTTGAGCACATAGAGGGCCCCCAGGCAATACTGAGAGGGGAAGGACCCGACGGGGGCTGGAGGAGAGAGTGTGTGGAAAGGCTGGACGCCGTGGCTTCCACCCTGGCCTCTGCAGAGACTGGTATCCATCCACCCCCTTTCATCCCATTGGTCATTCTGCACGCGTCTCCTGGAGGGATGGGCTCCCACTGTCACTCATTCGGAAAGCCCTGTGGCTCCACACACTTGCACACACATACACGCTTACACACATATACACACACTTTCTACAGAAGTAGAGGAGGAGCAGTATCATATATATGTATATATGTATGTGCAAATATGTATACGTGTGTATGTGTATATGTATTATATATATGTATCCACCACCTGGAGCCCTGGTGGCGCAACGGTTAAGTGCTCAGCTGCTAACCAAAAGGTTGGCCGTCAGAACCCACCCAGCAGTTCCTCGGAAGAAAGACTCGGTGATTTGCTCCTAAAGATTATAGCTTAGAAAACCCTATGCGGGTAATTCTACTCTGTCACATGGGGCCGCTATGAATCGAAAATCGACTCGCAGGCACCCAGAACAACATACCCACCACAAAGAGGATTCTTGGCTTTACTTGACCCACCACTTAGAAGAGAACGCTTACCTTCTGTCCATCTCCTCCAAAAAGAGACTGTTTCTTTGACTGTAAAATGGGGCTAAATAAAAGGGGTAAAAAGAAATTCAATAGATCCATCTTCTCAAACTGTGGCCACATTTGTGCACCATCTGGGGAAAAAAAAAGTCTACTTGGTTTCTGAGTTTGAATAGCAAGAAGTTTCCACATTATATTAAAATCTCTCCAGGCACTGCCCAAAGGATCTGAGTCAGAGGCCTTCGTTTGTTTGTTAAGAGGAGAGATTAACAAATGTTGTTGTTGTTGGATGCCATTGAGTCGGTTCCAACTCAGAGCAACCCTACGTACAACAAGACAAAACACTGCCTGGTCCTGTGCCATCCTCACAATGGTTTTTATGTTTGAGCCCATTGGTGCAGCCACTGAGTCAATCCATCTCATAGAGGGTCTTCCTCTTGTTAATGACACATTAACACTCAACTGGGACTTTCTTCTTGATGAAATCAGAAAGATGGAAAGGTACCAGATGTAATAATTTTGTAGATGTGTAATTCACTGTTATTTAGTGCCCTGTTCATGCACTGTATCTAAACATACACACACCGATGCTCCACACTCTGGGAACACAGCACTGTATTAGACTATGAACTCCGTCACTAGACCCTAGGCTCAAAGAGCAAGAAAGCTCAGTGCCTGACACCTTCCAAAGAACTAAATAAATATTGGTTGACTGAGTGAGCGAAGGAATGAGTGAGAATTGAAAGGACAGCACCCCTTCATTTGACTCGTGCCCAGTAGATGTTCAATAATAATAAACATCAAGTGCTTGATGGGCGTCAACTACTTGTACTGTCTTATTTAGTCCTGCCAACAGCCCTGTGTAGTTTAGGTAATTTTCATTGTGGGTAAGGACCCTGAAAGGAGCCCTGGTGATGCAGTGGTTAAAGGGCTCAGCTGCTAACCGAAAAGTCAGCCTTCAAACCCACCAACCGTTCCACAGGAGACATGTGGCAATCTGCTTCCATAAAGATTTCAGCCTTGGAAACCTTACAGGGCAGTTCTACTCTGTCCTATAGGGTCGCTATGAGTTGGAATCCACTCGATGGCAATGGGTTTATTAAGGACCCTGAGGCTCAGAGTGATTAAGATATACACTCAAGGTCACACAGCTGTTGAATGAAGGTTAAGATGTCCTAACTGCAAAGCATACTGGCGATAAATGTGAGGGGAACCTGAGTCAGTGTTGGGTGAGGGAGGGCAGAATGGAGTGGAGCAAGCTACACGGAACTTCCGCCTAATGAAGCTCAGATCCCACTCTGACGATTTCCTTGGAAGTTGCCGAGTAGTGGTAAGTTATTATTAGGTGGCGTGTGGAGAGCACTAGCTGTAATAACAGAATGTCCCTCCCCGACATAGTAATTCAAAGGTAAAGAGGAAAAAATAGCATTCACTTTTAAGGTTGACATGTTTGGAAAACTGGACTTGCCTGTCTATTATTAGTCCTCTAAGAGGCCCTATCACCTCCCAGGGGCTTGGGAAAACATCCCAGCAGACATTGCTGCTGAAGTACATTTCCTTTGAACTGATGAGCTGGAAGCTCGCGGCCCACATCCTGCCTTTTGAAAGAAGTGCCCTGGATGACTTTGGTCTCCAACAACAAAGAGTACCTCATGGGGCTGGGGATGGACGAGTCGGTGGGTCCCAAACAGCCTCTCAGTTCCTGGAGGGGCTGCACCATCTAAAGATGGAGGGACCAGGTTCCCATTGGACCCAGATCACTATAGTGCAGGAATCTCAAGCTGATGGCCCTGGTTTGCATTTTTTTAGGGAGCACAGCAAATTTTTTTCAATCGTGTGGTTGCCAACATGCGCGTTTGGTAAAATGTCACCTAAAAGATCAAGATTCTGGCTTCTCTAGGAAAAAAAAAGATCTGACTAAATGTCGCCTGCTTGTCTTCATTCACCCATTCATTTGTTCATCCCTTCAACAAATGCTTATTGAGTCCCTACTATGTACTGTTTGAGAAAATGTTCAATAAAACAGGCAAAAGCCCCTGCCCTCGTGGAGCTTACATTCTAATGGGAGAGATGAACAATAATCTAATAAGCTAACAAATCTATACTATGATGTGGTGATGCATGCTGTAAAGAGAAATAAAGCATGGGAGAGGAAGGAAGAATGTGGGTGGCCAGTGAAAACCTTTATGATAAGGGGACATGTGAGCAAAGCTCTGAATGAAGAAAGGGAGTGAGACATGAGGCTCTCTGGGAGAAGAGACTGCCAGGCAGAGGGAAATAGCACAGGCAAAGGGGTGAGGGAGGAGCATGCTTGGCATGCTGGAGAAACAGCAAAGAGGCCCTGTGGCTGGAGTGGAAGAGTAGTTATAAAACAGGTCAGCAAAGTAGCAGGGCCCTGTAGGAAGTTGTATGTATGGTTGTGTTTATGAATTTGGCTTTCATTGAAGGGCTTGGAGCAGAAGAGTGGCCTGGTATGTCCTATGTTTTTGAAAGATTGCCTTGGCTACTATTTGGATAATAGACTAGGAGGCAAAGGGTAGAAAAGGGAGAGCGGCTAAGAGGCCGTGTGAGTAGACCCGGCAAGAGATGAAGACAACATGGCATGGTGCCAGGCATAGCTTCAGAGTGGCAGCTCCCTGTAGATTGGACATGGGCCCTCCAGGTCACCAGAGCCCCCAGCTTGGTCCACTCTGCTCATAAGGGAATGCATGGCCACTTGAGAGATTCCAGAGGCGATCAGAAGACGGGTTGCTCTATCTGGGAATGAAGTCTAGGATCTCTTCAGTCTGTACTTCATACTTGCTGCATAACCCTGAAAAAGTCATTTCTTCCCTCTGTATCTCACTTCCCTCCTCTGTAAAACAGGGGCAGGAATGGAGCGGTTGCCTTCCAAATCTTTCATTGTAAGGCTGCACTGTCCAATATGGAAGCCACTAGTTACATGTGATTTGAGCATTTGAAACATGGCTGTTCAAACTGAGATGTGATTGCAAGTATAAAATACCCACTGGATTCCAAGGACTTAGGGAGCCCTGGTGGCACAGTGGTTAAGAGCTTGGCTGCTAACCAAAACGCTGACAGTTCAAATCCACCAGCCACTCCTTGGAAACCCTATGGGGCAGTTCTAATTGGTCCTATAGGGTCATTATGAGTTGGAATTGACTCGACGGCAATGGGTTCGATTGATCTTGTTTTGGTGTAAAAAAGGAACCATGGTGGCTCAGTGGTTAAGCACTCAGCTGCTAACCTAAAGGTTGGCAGTTGGAACCCACAAGCCACTCCACAGGAAAAAGATGTGGCAATCTGCTTCCATAAAGATTACAGCCTTGGAAATCCTGTGGGACAGTTCTACTCTGTCTAACAGGGTTACTGTGAGTCCCAATCAATTCGATGGCAACGGGTTTAGTGTGAAAAAAGAAGGTAAAGTATCTCATAAATAATTTTTATCTTCATTACTTGTTGAAATTATGATTTTTTGATATATTGGGTTAAGTTAGAAATGGCATTAAAATTAATTTCACCTGTTTCTTTTTACTTTTTGTAATGTGGCTACTAGAAAGTTTAAAATTACATATGTGACTCACTTTATGTTTCTATTGGACAGTTATGCTCTAAAGAATAGATTCACAATGATATCCACAGAATTAACAAAAAAAATAATAACTGGAACTCATCTCTGTTCTATGTGGCATCAGCTGGGGTGGCTTGGCTAGGAGTTAGGATCCACTTTCAAGATGGGTCACTCACATGGCTGGTAAGTGGCTATCAGTTGAGCGCTTATCTAGGCTTTGGGCCAGGGCCTTGGTTCCTCTTCATGTGGGCCTCTCCACTAGCTACTTGGGCTTCCTCACAACATGGTGCTTAATTCCAAGTGTGAAGTGTCCCAAGAGACCAGAAGTAAAAGATGACAACGTCTTAAAGCCTGAACCCAGAGACAGGCACTGTGTCATTTCTGCTGTATGCTATTGGTCAAGCAGCCACAGAG